CCACAGTCTTTGGTCTGCTGGTGAGTGCAGGTGACTACCAAAAAAATGACTTTGCAAAGATAGTGTGTAAAGAGTGGCTTAGTGGTGGTGCCTGAGAGTTTCGGAGCTGTGCCCTCTGCTTATGTCTAGTGGTGGCACGAAGTGGGAACTTTGGAGGGGTTCCAGCACCAAACCCACAGGCACCAGTTTTTGCAGAAGAGCACTGGAGGCCCTGTGGTTACATAAAACCCTGGGGGATTCACTTTCTCAGAAAGCTTGGTCTTCTCCCCCAGCCATTACAATTTGGTTTCTGCCCTGAAGTAGATGGACAGATCTCTCTTCCAAAATGCTTTTCACATGTACAGTCATAAATCTTACTCCAGACATTTGCACAGATTGCATTCTGGAAGGGAAGGCTACTCTGGACACCACAGCTCATGTGGCAACATGAGTTAGTTAAATAACTCCTCTGGATTGAGCAACTAATCCTTCTTCATGGATCTTCGTTCTCAGTTGAGACTGGAGAGCTGCTCTGCCCCTCTGCTCCTGACGTTCAGGGCAGCCCCAGGGGCTGAGCAGGAGGACTTGGTGCTGGCAGAATCACCTTTGTGCCTGGCCTGAGGTGACAGGGGGACCTGCAGCAGCCTGCAAGACCTCCCGGGGTTCCTGGGCTGGGCTGTGTGATTGGGTCCGCAGAGAGCAGGATTGCTGGAGCAAACAGGAGAGTGTCTGAAGTGTAGACCTGTCCTTACAAAGCCAGAGCTTCTGCTTTGGAGTGATAGGAGAGAGCATCTCTATTGTTTGCAGGAAGAGAAGGAGAAAAAAAAATATCATTCCAGTGTTAATAGAAGAAAAATCAGTGCATTTACCTTTAAATAAAGAACAGCATTGGTGGGGCCACTCTCCCAGGTCATGAGTTTGTTTCACAGACCATATCCACAGCTGGGGATAGAGCTGATGAAGGCACCAGGTCTCACCAGTAATTAAAAGGGGAATCTGTACATCCCTAGGAAGTAGGACAAGATGATCAAGCAGCATTCTCATGCTGAGCAGAAGCAGCTGTTGCATGAGCATTTATTTCCCTTTTTGTTAATGGCTCACAGCTTAAAAGAAGCAGTGCCAGGGTATGCGTGTACAGTTAACAGGAGCTTGGTTGCTGCCCCAGAGAGTTTATTTGGTGAACCAGGAAGCAGACCCTTGCCGTTCCAGCAGAGCCACTGACTGTGGGGTGAGCTGGTGAGAGCAACTTAAAGGCTTGCCTCCATCCCAGCCCATCAGCAGGGAGGTAAATCCTGGAATCCCAGCATGGTGGAGTTGGAAGGGACCTCTGGAGATCATCTTGTCCTACCCCCCTGCTCCAGCAGGTCACCCACAGCGGCGTGCCCAGGATCACATCCAGGAGGGTTTGGAATCTCTCCAGAGAGGGAGACTCCACAGCCTCCCTGGGCAGCCTGTTCCAGGGCTCTGGCACCCTCACAGCACTGAAGTTTTTCCTCATGTTCTGATGGAACTTCCTGTGTTCCAGTTGCAAAGTTGCCGTAGAGATGTGCCCAGTTTGTGCACGGTGACACGGGAGGCACCCAGCCTGGTCTGGCTGCAGGGAGGTTGCTCCCTCCCCGTGTCCCTCCCCAGCAGTGCCAGAGGTGGCGGATGCTGCTGAAGAGTGGACGGGACAAGCACGGCAAGGCTTGAGCCCTGTTCCCAAATCTCATGTTTTTCCTCCTGTGGGTGCCCGTGGGTGCCTGTGGGGACAGGGCGGGGTGGGGCACAAGGCCGTGTGTCAGCACAGTGCCTGGAGCTCGGAGGAGGGAAGGGGGCTGGGGCTGGTGGATGTTCCTCCTCTTGGCAGGGGAATTGAGATCGAGCTGTGCCTGACCTTGGAGCATCCTTGGGGGGGCTCGGACAGTGCCTGCGCCGCCTTCCCCTGCTGAAGCCATTCACAGGAGAGGTTTGACCTTTCTAGAGACTCCGAGCTGCTGTTGTTGTTGCCAGAAGGCTGTAGTTTAGACTAGGGAGGCGAGATAGGGAAGAGCAGGAGCCGAGGGGCGAGCAGGAAGGTTGTGCAGAGGTCCCAGGGCAGTGCTTTGCAGCAGCCCGACGGCCACGGCCAGAGACTGAGCTGGCCCCATGGCCTGGCTGTGAGCCCTCCTGTTAGTCCCAGCCCCAGCTGTTTTATACTCCTGCTAGTTTTGATGGGCTCTGGAGCATCCCAGTGTCAGGCGTTGGGACAAGACAGGAATCCTGCAGTGCAGCTGCAGGGGAGGGAGAGCAGAATCCCCTTGCAGTTCCCCATGCCTGGGAAAGTGGGGCGTCCACTCTCCTCTGATGTGTGCACGTGAAGAGGTCGAGCAGGGAGAGTACAGCCTCAGCCATGCTTCCCTGTAGCACAGAAGTAGCTCCAAGTAACCCAGTTTCAGCTGAAGTTGTTTATTACTCATCCTCCTCAATGAACTATTCAAAGGGAGCATGGTGCTTGTGTTCTCAGGGATTTGGTGTAACTGCTGCTTCCGAGGCTTGTCTAAGTGTCCTTAGCGCTGCTAATGAGCCAGGGGAGCAGGGTGAGAAGAGGTGCTGGTGGGGACGGTGTTAAAAGGATGTAGCGAGGTGTCACGTGCTGTGGGGGACTGCACTCTTGCCCCATTTTGTCTCCAGGCTTAGCAGCCAGGGCCGGGGCTGGGGTAATGACCAGCTTTTAGTGGGGACGGTTCCAGGGAGCTCAGAGGTGGTTCTGCTGGCAGCCCTGGTGCTGCTGCCCGTGCCCACGCGGGGCACACCGACCCGGCAGCCCGCAGCTGCCAGCACGCTGGGGGAGCAGCAGGCGGTGCCAGTGAGGGCTGGGGTAGCACCTTCCTAAAGCTTTCCTGCTCTTTCTGATTCTGATATCTTCAGAAGTTGTGGATGTGTGTGGGAGGTGGGGAGTTGTTAAATCAGCGTAACAAAACCAATGCATCTCGTCATAACTGGTACATGAAGCAGTTAGATTCTACCTCGTCCTTTTAATGGATCTCTGATCACTGCAAAAGGCTGTTCCTGCAAGAATATAGAAAACAAACACTCACGGGATGATAAATAAAGGCTAAGGTGGATATAGACTCATTCCCCATGTAGGCTCTTATGCAGCGTCTGTGAGGTGCACAGCTCTATTACTTACTGAGACTGGTTTGGTTTGGAACAGCACGAAGAACATCAGATAAATCCTGATCCAGTAAATGTGTTTAGACTTGACAAGAAAACAAACGGTGAGTCAGGCAGGAAAGTTCATTCTTGTCATGTCTAGCAAATCAGGCACTAAAAAAGAAGAGCTTAAATCTGAAACTCTAAGGGCTGCTGTCTAAACAAGTGGAGAGGTGCGTCTAAGATATCTGGTTAGTTTGGCAATAAGTAACAGGAGCTTTCTGCAAGCCCCCTAAAGCAGCTGTGTGCAGGGTCTCCTTTCCAGGGAGCCGCTGGTCCCAGTTCCCTCCTGGCTGGCAGTGAGTGCAGCCCAGGGACAGGGTGACCAGTGCCAGCCTGGCACGGGACCCAGGGCACAGAGGCGGTGGGGCAGCAGCTCCCTGTGCAGTCAGCTCCCCAGCCAGCCCCGGGGTCTGCAGCCTGTGGACAACAGACCCAGTTAGAGTTACTGAGTGGCACAAAAAATAATTCAGCCCCACGAAGCACTGCGAAAGAGAATCATGGTTGTAGAGGGGGCTGTATTCAGCAAGCTGTGGGTAGGTGCCAAGGCAGGAGGATCAGCCTGTGTGTGTGAAGGTGTTCTGGGAGGAACACGGCTCGTGACAGCAAAAACCAAGCGGTGGATGTGTGGGATCTCCTCCCCTCCAGCCATGCCAGTCACCCTGGAGGTTCTGAGAAGGTCTGAGTCCATTTCTCCTTCTAGTCCTGCTCTGATCAGAACCCAGCACCCACAGCCGTTTCCTCTGGTGTTTGCAGGTAAACAGAAGTACCTGTGTGCCAGCCGGAACGACTGCACCATCGACAAGTTCAGAAGGAAAAACTGCCCGTCCTGCCGCCTGCGCAAGTGCTACGAGGCAGGGATGACTCTGGGAGGTACTTTCTTATCCTTATTTTATAACTTTGCTAGTCTGAAGAAAAAGTAAACTGCTGGCTGAGCTGGATTCTCACTCACACTGAAGCTTCTTTGCACAGGGCATTCCCATTTTAACATGATTTTTCCCAGGCAGAAAGGGACATTTTTGTTTATTAAATGACAGCCCCAGTGTTTATCTTCACTGAATGGAAGTGGCTCCTGCACCACTGGTAAAGACCCTTGTTACAGAGTACCCCTGTCCAGAATCTGAGTTTTTTTGCTCAAAATCTGGAAGCTACAGTGTAGATCACTGTGTGGCTCATCTCTGAGTTCATTTGGTGTGAGAATGAGGAAGAAAATACCCTGAAAAATGGGGCTGCTGGTCCCGACCCACGATGAACAGGTCCCTGACAGCAGAGCGGAGTCTCGGGCGATACAGGGGCAGGGACACCTCCCACTGGTCCAGGCTGCTGAAAGCCCCATCCAGCCTGGCCTTGAACACTTCCAAGGATGGGGCATCCACAGCTTCCCTGGGAAACCTGTGCCAGTGTCTCACCATCCTCGTAATGGAGAATTTCTTCCTGATTTCTAATCTAACCATGGTTTGGCAGGGAAGCAGGGAGACTCCTCCAGGAACCTTCCCTTGTCTGCCTGGGAAGGCTGGGACCAGGATGCCACTGCTGCCCTGCCCATGGTATGGTTGGGCTCCCAAGCCAAGAGATGGGGATGCAGAGCCAAACCCAGTTCCCTGGTCTGCAGCCAGCAGCCAGGCTTCCCAATGCCATCCAAAACAAGCATGCTTTTGTTTTTCAGTGCGTTTTTTTCTGGTGAAATTTCTTTAAGTTAAAGACATACAGCAGTGCAACCTTCTGCAGAACACACTGACAAAATTAATGCTAATACTGATAGCCCACCCCCCTTTTCTTTTTTTTTTTTCCTTAAGCTCTTTGGGTCACCCTGACCTGTTCTGCCTGGTCTGTTTTACATTTGCTGTGAATGTCGGTTTAGAGGCAATTGTTAAAAACACGCATGCTATGAGTTTGTCCACAGTTATTTCTCCCACAGTAGAGAGGCAGAGCATTGGAAAAGGCTTCCAAGCTCCACACAGTTGTTTTTAACTGCCTGTTAATTACCAGCACTTGTATAGGGTTTAATAGAGCTGCCTGGGCCGGGCAGAGCTGCGGCTCTTGGTGTGTTGGATGGGAGGAGGAGGTGACACGCTGAACACCTTGTTTAGGGCTCTCTGCTTTGGCACAGAGTGGCAACATGTTGAAGCGCTTCATTATTGATTGAGATCACTCTGACCTGCAAGCTGAAGTCCATTAAACAGGATCTTCTCTCCCAATCAACGCTGTATAGCCCAAGAGAAGGAAAAGGAAAGGAAGGGATAATGCCAGTCTGGTGTGCTGGGTTCTGCCGGGCTGCGCACGGGAGGGCTGCTGTGCACCCTGAGCCTCCTGCCACCTCCCCAACATGTAAAATTCGGCTCCTTTCACTGATGGCAGGGCTGGAGGACCCGTGTAGTAACTGCTGATAGCCTGTGAAATCCCAAGGCGTGAGTCATACCTGTACTTAGTCCTGTTTAGGCCCAGTTGCTGTGGTCAGAGTAGAGCTCATGTCTTAGAAAAGCACTTGATTTGCTGCTGCGGTAGGCGCTGCCAGCGGCGGGCAGTGTAACACACTGCTGCCATGCAGCTGCAGTAGTTAATTACGGTCAGGGCTGTGATAGATGTACCTTATTTTTCATCTTGTCTGTCCTTGATTTCCAGAAACTGGATCTTTATTATGGCTTTGTTGGCTGGATTGAAAAAAATACTTTTATTGGATTTCTGTCCCCGCCGTGGGTGTTTTTTGGCTGTGATTTAATAACCCTTTAACCTTCTGCATAGCCACCAAGCTAAAATTATTCCAGTCTGTTCAGCGATCAGTCCTTAGTGTTCGTTAACTGGTTGCTCACCTTTGCTTCATCATACAGATGTTTTTAGTAAAAATGGTTAATTTTTGTTTTGGAATGATCATAGACATTGACTAGCAAAGAGCTGTGAGCAGCCCTCAGAAGAAATAAGCAAAAGAAAAAAAAACAAACGTTGTTTCAACAGTTGTAAGACTTTTGTGATACCTGGGTGGCTGAAAATCATTCAGTGGTACCATCTGATTTTATATCATTTGAGTTTTTTCAATTCACGTGGGCCAGACAGACTCAGATCTCTAAAACATGTCTGCAGTACCAGTACCATTGCAGTCATCAGCTGAAAGTATCATGCCAGAAAAGACTGATGGCTTAACAGGATCTGGTTTTGATAAGCCACGTGTTGATGTTAATAAAAAATGGGAAGAGCCAGATATAAATGAGGTCCTGCTTCAGCTCCGTGTGGGACTGTGGAACAACACCAGAGGCAGGGCTGCTCTGGAGAGAGCAGGTCCCACCCACTCCCCTGCTCCCCGACACCGAGGGGCTTGGTTCACAGCTGCAGTCTCGTGGTTCGTTGCTTGCTCTCCTTTTCCTTCACTCAGAATCCAATTTTAGGGCAGAGTCTGTAACTGAAAGCAAACTCTGTGTGTTGCAGAGGGCGTGGGCTGGGCTGGCAGAGGCCCCCGAGCCGGCGGTGGCTGGGGGTGTCATGCTGTGCTGCAGCCCTGCTCCCCTGTTGCTCTCCTTTATTTTTATTACTTTTTTCTCCTCCTTTTTTACAGAGCAGCCTGTCTTAATTGCTCGTGCAGTAGATCATCCAAAGTCCGTTACTTAAAGATCAACGTTTTGAAGTGATTTACAAAGCTGCACTTTAACTTGACGTTTTTATGTTTCGCTGCTTGTTTTTCTAATTACAGCTGAAAGGAAATTTGAGATAAGTATCATGTAATGAAGGAGCCAAAACCCCAAGGACAATTGGTTTGATGTTGTATTCTCCGCTTGAATTAAACAATCATGCTTTTTTCTCTAATTAATTAGGGGGTTTGGAGCCGGTAAGGGGTGGAAGCTGCTCCTATCTGCAGCAGCCTGCCAGCCTGTGCTGTGCCGAACGCCGCCACGCAGGCAGGAGATTAGGTGAATGCTGACTCCCAAAGAACTCTGAAGTCACGCAGCTGAAGCTCCTGGTGCATCTTGCAGCAGGCTGGTGTCTGTAATTTAGAGCTGGGTGCACGGGACAGACGCCGTGTCACAGTGACACGGTGCAGCAGTGGGCTGCCTGCGGTCCCAGCCACACCAGCCCGCTCTGCAGGCGTTGCTCCTGAAGCTGGCCAGCAGACCAAGGCCACCCCGGCTTGAGTCTGCTCCTTGTCACTGTGCTAGCTGGGCAGACTCCAGGGAAACAGCTGTGGAACCACCAGCTAGCTTTTAAAATGATTTTTATTCTGAAGCGCCACCCTAAAACGTGTCCGTTCCGCAGCCCGCAAGCTGAAGAAGCTGGGCAACCTGAAGACACAGGATGACCCCGAGGCAGGCAGCTTACCCAGCCCCACAGAGGAGCAAGCTCCCAAGATGGTGATGACACGCATTGATGGGTACGAGTGCCAGCCCATCTTCCTCAACGTCCTGGAGGCCATCGAGCCCGGCGTGGTGTGTGCCGGCCACGACAACAGCCAGCCAGACTCCTTCTCCAACCTGCTGACCAGCCTGAATGAGCTCGGGGAGAGGCAGCTGGTCTACGTGGTCAAGTGGGCAAAGGCCCTGCCAGGTGAGGAAGGAAGCTAACAGATCCTGTCCCTTCCCTGGCACTTGCCAGCCCTGCAGCCCGTGTCCCACCCTCACACAGCTCCTTGAGGGAGCGTCTTCGTGGGGTGTTGTCTGTGTAATGTCTCTGCAAAGCAGGCTGCAGCAGCATCGGGTTTGTCCCCTCTGGATGGCTGGTTGATGGCAGAGGTGACTTGGGTGGTGAAGTATGTAGAAACTTGTGCTTCTGGGTCTGCCCCTGCTCATAACCCCTGGCACAGGGGTTCCTTGTGCAGGAAGGGCTGCAGCTGGTCAGGGCGTTAGGGTTTTGCTCTCTTCCTGCAAGGGTTTGGCTCCATGTCCAGGGCTGCATCCACCAGACCTGCAGAAATCTTCTCTGAACAAGGATCAGACCCGTAACCCACGTGTAGCAGTGGAAAGGGTAAATTCCCCAGGTGAATCAGAAGCATGCCACAGGAAGGAGAAACTGGGCTGGAGGGAGCCAAGGCTGCAGAGACAGGCGAGATCCTTCCTCACCGTTTTTGTATTTCACAGCCCAATTAATTGTAAAATAGCAAAAGAGAGACACAAAATTCCAAAGGGCTTTTTCCTGGCAGTCAGGTTGCTCTTGTGTGACAGGCTGCTGGAACATACTTGTGAGGCATTTGGAGTCGTGATATGGGAGTAGGTTAGGGTTGGGAAGTTTCCAGATGGTAGCAGTTAGCAGGAGCTGTAAGGGAAAACATCCTGGTGATGTTTGTCTCTGGCTGAACACGCTCGGTGGCTCTGAGCACAGGGGTTACCAGCCCATAGCTCACTGCCTGCTGTGCACCGTCACCCTGCCAGCGAAACGGGGAATTGCAGAAGGCTGAGATCACTCTGGGTGCAGCAGGACCCATTCAGCTTCCAGCATCCCAGAGGCTGGGGCGTGGGGACAGTTCTGAGGTGCCTTCCTCACCCTGGCCCTGCTCCTCAGGAGCTGCTGCAGAAAGCAGGGATCCTACTCCTTACGTGCAGGGCCGTACGACCAAAGGAGGAAACAAGGCAAAATAAGTTTGCCATCATATGCCAAAACCTGCTGATGAACTGTAGTTGGATATTTGACATTCCCAGAAATTTGGCAGCCCCCCTGGAATCCTGGTGGTCTAGGAGGAGTGTTAGTCTGAATATGCTTAAATGCAGAGAAGCCCATTCCATTTCTTAGATTCTCAAGTCAGGAAAAGTTCAGCTGGGATGGGAAAGCAGGAACAAATTGCTAAGGACAAGGCTGGTTTGTTTTCCCCAGCTCTCTCCAGCAGTTCCCCGAGGTGCCAGAGCTGGAGCTCAGCAGTAGTAACCACCAGTTCACCACTTGGTCACTCTCCTGATACTTCCCGGGGAAGGAGCAGACAAGGAAAGCTGGTGCTGCTCTGGGTGGTGGTTCGGCACACAGCCCCTTTGCTTTTTGGGTAGATTTGCAGAATTCTTCCCCAGAGGCAGAGGAGTTTGCTATCTATAATTTATTTAAACTATATTGTGGTTAATAAAGCAGATGTGTTTTCAGTTCCCGGGTCTGCAGGTTGGCTCGGCAGCTCAGGAGAGGTGCTGTGAGGGTGACACAAACCCCAAAGCCAAACCCAGACAAAACCCCAGCAGTTCCAACCAGTGGGATGCAGTCGCTTTATTGACACAGAAAGATCTCATGTGGTCTGCTGGGAGTCTGGGGGCTGTTCAGTCAGCACCATGGCTCCCGTGCCCTGCCCCATGGGCTCCTGCTGGGAGTGCTGCTGGTCCTCAGCAGGTCCGCACAGAGGGGAGACGTTATCCCCACTGACAGGGGCGGCCTCAGCCTGATGATCCTGGCAGCAGACTAATGCTGGCTGATAGGTGATTATTAACTTTGCCCCCGGTGTTGAGCATCCCCTGCACCAGCAGTGATTAGTATGCAGCGAGGCGCTGTGGCTGCACTGCTTCCAGCGAGGTCTCAGTGATAGCCTAGAAAAAAGACTGCGTCAGCTCGGAGCATTCCTGAGTCCCGCTCGCCTGCAGCAGCAATATCAGCCTCTGTCTCGTGGAGAAAATGTAATGTATGGCACTTTGGACCCTATGCAATTGAATTTCTGCATAGGAGAAGGTACAAACTGTGGTTTCTCTGGAGAGGTACGATAAATAACCACAGCTTGCCAAGAAAGCTCCTGAAACACAGAAATGAAAAATCTGATTAAATCCATAAAACCTGTCCGCTTCAAGGTACGTGCAAAGAGTGTGTGTTTTCCCTTTTCCATATACATGAATTCAGCAAAGATGTTACAGTTAATTTAGATCAGCACTCAGACACATTAAAGAGCACTTTGCCTGGCAGTAGGGGAGAAGTCTCCAGCTGGTTCCCAAAGCTGTGGGGACACCAGTCCCTAAAAACACGTGTCCTGCGGTGTGTGGGGCAGGGCTGCTGGGGGCCGAGCTGGGGGCATGGGCTGCCTGTGGCTCGGCTGCCACCACGGCAGAGGCACCTGGAACCCTCTGTGGTTTGAGCATCTGAAGTACTGAGATCGGGTGAGGTGTCACGGAGGAGGGACCTGTCTGGAGGAGCTGCTGCAGCACCTCCATGTGCTGTCCCTGGTCAGCTCTCTGGGGGGGCTGTGCCCCCGACTGCGGCTCCCCCTCAGCGTCCTGCCTCACAGCAGATCCAACCGGCCCTTTAGCTGGGAGGGTGCAGTTAATTGTGCACCTTTTTCCATTTTCTGAACAGTAAAATCTCCAGATACAACATGATTATTTGTTTGGATTAGAAACGTTACTTGGTGGTAACATGTGGGGTGTTCAGTTGCTGGTTGGTCTCATTCTGGCACAGCAGTGCATCAGGAGAGGGGATAAGGAATTTATTGCCCAACTATGCTGCTTTAAGATTATTTGCAAGAAAAATGTTATGCATTTGTCTCTTTCAAGTCATTAGAAAATTTAATTTTACCTTTGCTGTGATTTCTTTCTGTAGAAGGTCTCTTCATTCGGGTCTCTCCAAACCGTGTCCTTGTTAACACCAAATTCTTAATACTAAACTTAATACTAAACCAAATCAATTCTAAACCAAATAAAAATTATTCACGCTAAAAATGTAACCAGATCTTGTGGTGTCAGGTTTGCATGTGTTTGGCTGTACAGTGATTTTGGGCAGGCACCCTCTGGGCAGGGAGGTTTCCAGGAGACGATGGGTGTCTGGTTTCTGACAGCCAGCCTGCCGGGGCAGTGACTCCACCGTGCCTCTGGAACCTGCTGCTGCAGGCAGGCAGAGAGCGAACTGTAAGTCGTGGAGCAACAGACCTGCTGTGTTCAAATACCTTCCCTTAAACGCTGGTAAAGCTTGTGCAGAGATTTTTTTGTTAGTGAACATAATTACAAGGTAATGAACGCGGCACCAGAGTCCTTCTCACAGCAAAGGTTCAGAGCAGCAAACGCTTCCACAGATGGGTTGGAGAGCTGATGCTCAGGGGCTGAGGGGAAGCTGGTCCTGGGCAGGAGCTGCTGCCCACAGAGGTGGCTTTGGGGCTGGGTGAGGGGGATGAGGAGGTTCTGCCATGGGTGGTGGTGCCTCCAGCTGTGCCTTCGTCCTCTTGATGCGGAACCCAGCAAAAGCAGGGTGGGTCACTTGTGAGAATTAGGGTTAAATTTCGCCAAACTCGCTGTTCACCGGTGTGTTTTCTGTCTCCAGGCCACTTAGAGAGTGCAGGTTTCCTCCTTAGTGGTAGGGTTTATGAGCCTTGCTCCCGGAGTATAGGGAAGCCAAACGTCAGAGACCTCTGGTCTGCCTTCTTCCTCCCCAGCCTCATGCTCTCCATCACTCCTTGGCTTGCAGTTCATCTCTGGCCCTACAGCACCTCGTGTGCCCAGCTTCTCATCAGGAAGTTCTTGCAGCTCTTTTGAAGACAGAGCATCTGCCATCATAAATCTGTTTGTAGTCACAGGGTTCTCTTGCCTGTGTGGTTAAGAGCATCTTTCCCAGGGAACTCCTTCACCCGAGCACACTGTGGGGTGTGTCCTTGGGGTCCTGTTGGGAGGGTGGCACTGAGTCTTCTCCAGAGCTTCCGTCAAGCCAGGGGAGACATTTTGGTCATCAGTCTTTGGTTTGATCTGTTCTTCTGTGTTGGCTTTGTTTTTCAAAAGAGCATTGTCTGGTAATTCCCTCAGAGGACAACATACGTTTTTCCTTCAAAAAGCAGTTTAAAAAGGGGAAAAAAATCAACATTTTGGATTTGTAGCAGGCTGATGAAGGTTCATCCCCATCACTTGGTGCTGGTGTGGGAGCATTCAATGCAGTACTGTAATTAAATATGAAAATATAACTTAGACTTGTTCTAGAGAATAGTATGGCTGATTTTATAAGCCCTTGGGTTGCCCAGATGCCTTGTCCCTTCTCATGTGCTGTTACAGAGTTTCACTCTGGCTGCTGGAAGGTTGATGTTCTCCAAATGGGAATCACCTCTTTGGGTTTGGTAGGATGCTACTTGTGCTCAAGCTTCAGGTTTTTAATCTGGTGATATGCAAGCTGAAAGGAAAACATACAAGTATAAAGCAAGTTTAGTCAACAGTAAAACATTGTGCTCATTTGCAGTTGACAGCTTCCCAGGCAAGAGACAGACTCTTGCCTCAGTGGATTACAATTATATGCAAGAGGTGTTAGAATTGCTTTAATAATTGATTGAAATAACATACAATTTTCTTGAAATCAGGTTACATTTGACTAACTGCAAGTATCTGGGAAAAAATTAGTGTTGGAGATGATGTTTGTGCATGTGTTGTAAACAAGGCTGGGATTTAACTGTGAACTGTCATCTGGGAACACTAAGTTGAGTTTAATTGGTACTTTTGTGTAGCTTGCATTCAGCAGAGGCTTTGCTCTTGTTTTCATAGTTAGCAGATAAACACATTGTGCATTGACAGGAACTGCAGCAGTCTGGTAACTGTGGGATGAGGCCTTGGGGTTACTTCCTGGCTCTGAGTGTTAGACTTTAGAATCCATTTGCTTAAATTTGGTAAAGCCCTAATGAGTTGAAAATAAAGGAAGTTTTTTGTCTTACTTCCTTGAGTGCCAGAATGGCACCAAGGGAGGAGGCAGGTTAAGGAGGGTGTTTTGCTTTATCCCCTCCTGGTGTCCTGGGGTCCCTTCCTCCTCTCCCAGGTGCTGCGTTGTGCTTTGGCTGTTCCTGGAGGTCCCTCAGGGTGTGGGCCCCCCCCTGCAGACGCCGGGGCTGTGTCACCCAGCCACACGTGTGGGTGTCCTGGGACGAGCCGAGGTGGGGCTGTGGAGCACCTGCAGGAGAGCTGGAGTCTGCTCAGGACCAGTCCTGGCAACTGCAGAGCCCAGCAGTAACTAATGATGTTCCTCTCTGGTTTTTCACCAGGGTTTCGCAACCTGCACGTGGATGACCAGATGTCCATAATCCAGTACTCCTGGATGGGCCTGATGGTTTTCGCTATGGGCTGGAGATCTTTCACCAACGTCAACTCCAGGATGCTTTACTTTGCTCCAGATTTGGTCTTCAATGAGTAAGTGAGAAATTACACCCGCCCACTGTCGTGCTTGCTCTGGGTCAGACTAGGTGAGAAATGAGAACAAGACGTGGGATTTGCTTCCCTCACTGCTTATGAAGTGCACAGCTTGAGGGAGCAGAGCTGACCCACACGGCGCAGGAGGGCCCTGCTGTTCCCCTCTGCGTGCTCTGCAGGGATCTCCAGGAGCAGTAAGGAGAGCTGCAGTGTCTCTCCTGGTCCTCCTTCGCTTTCCCTCAACCTTCCCTTGGGTTTGACTTCCATCAGGGCAGCAGCAAGTGCTGGTGCTGGGTGTGAGGGGCTGGTCTGTACAGACCTGCCTGTTTTCTGAGGGATTGGAGTTCCTGTTTGCAGCTGGAGTGAGCAGAAACAGAAACAAGCGTTTGTTGTCAGTCCCTGGTGGGTTCTCTCTGATGTACTGTCAGCTTAGAGTCAGGGGGATTTGTTGACACTGAGGTGGAAGAGGTTAATACCGCCGGGGCCCAGCCGCAAGCAGGCGCAGAGGCCCGAGAGCCCTGGGCTCTGGTGTCCCCACGGCTGTGGCGAGCCCCGGCGGGAGGTGGGGGGCAGAGGCCCCTGTGGGAGGAGGGGGGCAGAGGCCCCTGCGGGAGGTGGGGGGCAGAGGCCCCTG